TTTCTCAACATGGGTATGTCTGTGCATCTTCTTTGCCGTTCCTTGAGCCTACAGACCCGATTGTTAGGGCACAAAGGATAAGAATGAAGGCTTTAGGGCAGAAATCGGAAAGCAGGGCCTGTTGATGGCTTGCAGATGTCAATTCTGTAGGGCAGCATGACAGGGGTTTCCCTGGAGAAAGAGGGAGATGAGAAGAAGTAGAGAATCCAGAGGACTCCAGCTGGTGGTATAGAATTCCCATTTCTCAGCTGGACAAGTCCACATCACTAAAGTGTTTTGGAATGATTCTGGTGGAATGTAACACCTGTAGGTTTTGGTAGTTGCCTTCCTTTTGGCCCCCTTGTCAAGTGTAAATTTTGTGGATGCCAGAGATTTTGGAAGAAGCTATTATACCAGGCTTTTTGCCTTTATCCAGTGGGGGAGAACTTGGATTATTCCTTTTTTCTCATTCTTGGTACAGATGGTATAGTTATTTTAAGGAAGTGATGTGCTGCAGTGAAAATGGGCAACTCTTTCATTTTTCAGCTTAATGAAAAAAAGAAAAGGGAGGAGAAACTCCAGTTAGCCAGCTTCGTGCTAATATTTGTCTTTTTTTTGGATTCTAAATGTGTCCCATGACACTGAGAGGGGATAAATATTTCAGCCACCAGGAAGTCCTGCTGTTGGGTTAAAAAGATTTCTAACCTCTTTTAAAGCAGACCAGGTAGTAATTTACTTGTACAAGTCCAGATACCTGCCTTGTCCCCCAGTTTTAACCACATACATATGCATCAACCTCACACACTCTAGGGGTCTGGGGCAAGGGTGGGTGGAACTTTCCAAGGAAAGGTCTGGGGCTGGGGAATAAGTTAGCAATGTCACACTTAGTTTTTGGATGGTCACAGATGTTTGTTGAGGACCTATGGAGTAACAGGTGCCTGAGATACAGCTAACTGACACAGGGCCTCTGCCTGCAGTGGGTGTTCTGATGGGAGATGGTGTAGGCAGACCCAGAAACACAAATTAGGATGAAGGAAAATACAGGAAGTGACCAAGAATGAAAGACAAGGGGACCAGCTTTAGCTTGGTTGTCCATGCAGGGACCCAGTTAGTGACTTGAGCTGAGGTGTGAGGGTCCTGCTTAGCCTGCTGGATTAGATTGCTGGGGCTTTGGTAACATAGGGGGACTGAAACAACAGGAGCTGCGGGAGCTGATTGGGACACAGTTTCGGAGGTGGGAGGTCTGAGATCAAGATATTGGCAGGGTTGGTTTCTTCTTGAGGCCTCTGTCCTGGGCTTCTAGATGGTGTCTCCTACCTCTGTGCTCACCTGGTCTTCCTTCTGCACCTGTTGGTGTCCTAATCTTTCTTATAAGGACATCAGTCCTGCTGAACTAGAGGCCACTCTTGACCTCATTTTCACTTTCTTACCGCTCTGCAGATGCCTTTAAATATGAGACTACCAGGGCTTAGGACTTTCACCTGCACATTTTGGGAGGACAAAATCAAGACTCTTGGAGGTCAACAGGCAGCACGTTTGGAGGCCTCACAGCAGGCAAAACATTGGTGTGATCAAGAAGAGTGTTCCAGGTGAAGTTGCAGAAGTGAACAGGGGTGGATCCAGCTGAACTTTGCAGACCAGGGCGAGTTTTAGATGTCTCCTAAGGGCACAGAGAAACTATCATTACATTAAAAAAAATCTCAGTCTGTGCGAAGAGAAGGACCTGGAAGGAAAGGATGAGAAGTGTTAGCAAGTTGGTTAGGGTAAGATCTCTCCACCTCAAGGCTGTTGACATTTGGGGCTGGGTGGGCCTGTGTTTCCGGGGCTACCTACACTCTGCAGGATGCTTAGCAACATTCTTGCCCTTTGCCTCCTGAATGCTAGTACCACCCCATCCCATTGTGACAATCAGAAACGTCGCCAAACACTGACAAATGTTCGCTGGTGGACAAAACTGCCTCTGTCCAGAACCACTGGTTGAAAGGGGCCAAGAGATAATGGTGGCTTGGACTGGGTGGTGCCAGTTTTAGTGAGGCAAATTGGATGGGGTTGAGGAAGGTTTTGTCCTCAGAATTCACTAGATTTAACTTCTCTATGCTTGGTTTCCTCTAATGTTTTTAAGTCTGATGAGGTTGTCATTCCTCTAAAGCACCCAGCTGTGTGCCCCCTGCATGCATAATGGAGTTGCTCAGAAGGCTGGAAAGAATGTGCCTTTCCGTTATCCCTCACTAGGCTGGGGCTGGTGGCTGGCAGGGCCACCTGTGTGTAACGGACGTGGTGTTTAGGCTCTCCATCCTCCCATTCATTTGTCAAGTCCATATGCCGACAGCCTTATTGACTCAGAGCAAGCACTTTACAATCTAATCTGGCCAATTTTCTGCTTCCGGGAATCTGTTTATCAGAACAAGATTTCACAGTTGTAGTGATTTTTCCAGGGGGTTGCCTTCAAGGAGCTAGCTGTACAAAAGCAAGCTCAAGTGATTTCCGAGCAAAACGAAGCAATAGTTCTGTGTTCTGCAGCCCCAAAGAGTTTCCTGCTTGCTGGTGATGTGGGGAGCAGTTGTCCTGGAACAGCTGGAGTGCATGGGTGTCCTGGGCTGAACATTTGGTGTCTGGCTAGGATTCTGCTCCTGGCTGCCCTTTCTAGGCTTTTTCCTGTCACACCCCCTCCAACATCGAGTTGCCATTTGCCTGGAAATAGTGAGAGGTTTTCTTTTCATCTTGGGGTTGATGGTGACTTCATGGAATCATTTCAGAGGAAGTCTGATGTTGGATCTGGGCTCAGTGGATCAGGATACCGTAATTGATTACTGATGTCTGATTGGGTGGTAGAATAGGAGAAATGGTAGCACAATACATCGCAATTCCTAACAGTCCCAGATACATGCTTTTTTTATTCCAGACTTCTCCACCCCATGGGCTGGGCCTTCCCACACCACCTCCCAGCTGACCCTGATTCCTAGGCCTCATGGAGCCTTACCTTTCATCTCTGTATGTCCATCTACATCCTCTACAATTCCTCTCTCCTGGAGTCAGTCTTGGTTCTCTTGAAATTTGACTAGAGAACATTGGGGAGCCTTCGACAGCTTTTTAAAGTAATGAAGTAACATGATCGATTCGCTGTTTTGCAAGATCTTTCTGGCAGGAGAAGGGAGAATGGATTGGAGTAGGGCAGGACGGGAGGCAGGGAGACCAAGCTGGCAGGTTGTGGCCGGCAGTGGTCCCAGTTAGGGGCAGCAGCGGTAGTGATGGAGACTTGATGGTCAGCCATCTGGAGGGGTGACAGTAAGGAACAAGGGAGATTTCTCAGATCCGGATGTGGGCACTTGGGCAGAATGGCGCCCCTTGCTGTAGCTTCTCTTCTGAGTCCTCCAGTGAGCTGTGTGTGACAGTTCACTTCAGCAGGGAGACACGCATGTATGTGACAGATCCAGCACAGTGTGGCAGATGGTCTACCAGGAATATCCATGACACCAGAGCTGGCACAGTGCTGCTTTCCTACGCTTGTGCCCATTCCCATTGGTCCTTGTCTGCTTGTTCCAGTTATAAATTATTTTTAGTATCATCCCAATAGTAGCATCACCAGACTGCAGAGTATGTGCTTCACTATGCTTGGCGAAGCCAAGGAACACTTTAGAGGGAAGGCAATGGAGAAGTTGCCTACCGAAGGGTGTATAGGATTTTCTAGGAGACCCAGTGGGTAGAAGTATATCCCAGGTCAAGGAAACAGCACATAGAAAGGAGAGTGGCAAGAAAAGGATGTGGTGGGGGATCTTCAATATTGAGATTTAAAGATGCTTCTCTTCGGCAAATCTTGAGAACGAGGACCCTGGGCTTGTCTCTCCTTCTCTCACCCCAGGCAGGTCTAGAAGCTCCTTTTTCTTTAACAGTTAAGGCAGTAAAATCTTTAGAGTGCATGTATGTCTTTCCAGCCTGAAATAAGGAGTCCTAGCTGTGCTGCTCTGGACATAGCACAAGTGTCTGCTCACAAATGCCCAATAAACGTTTTATTGAATGACTCAGAAGAGAGTCCTGGAGCTATGTCTACTGAGAGAACGGTCTCTTCCTTCCTCCTTTTTCCCTGAGACTTTTATTTCCAATTTCCCAGCCATTGACCACACCGGCTCAGGCTGATGAGATCAATCAGATCGTGGCTCCCTGGAAAATCTGTTCCCAGGATTCAGAGAGGATGAGTTCCGCTCTCCTCCCCAACTTGCCATCATTCCAGCTTCCTGTTTGCTTTCCTGACCAAGGGCAGTTTGGGTGGTGGCCTTGGCACTTTATGACTCTGTTCTGTGGCAGCGAACCTGAACCTTGGAAGAGCCTGGTTCTAAGCCTCAGGGACTGTTGGCAGGCATGGGAGTGCCGAGGGCAGCCTCTTACTGGGTAGAAGGCCTGAGTTCAAGTTTCATCTTGGACTTTCCTCCCCTTGGGAACTCAGGCAGGTGGGTTTGTAGAACTGGGCATCCAGTTTTCGAGAAGGAAACGATCTTCAGGTATTCCTGACAACCTGACCCACCCTCAGGGGTTCTGTGCTTGTAGGGGCTGCAAGCCTGTGGCCTGGCAAGATCTTTCAGATTTTGCTGTAGGAGATAGCAGGAGTGCAGTGTGCACTTTTACTTGGAACTTTAATTTTTACCCATTGCTGCTGACTAGAAAAGAACATTTGGGTTTTACATCCAATCATTTTGGTAGGAAAAAAGGTCAAAACAGTTTTTTTAACCTTGAACTCAGGGCCTTGTGCTTGCCAGGCAGGTGCTATGCTGCTAAGCTGTATCCCCAGCCACAAAATCACTTTTTGATACCTGTTTTGTGTCAGGCCCCCAAGTGCTTTCCTTAATTTCTGCAAGTAGCCCTCTCAGGATCCTTGGCAGGGGGGTAAGGCAGATCATCAGTCCATTTGGCAAGTAGGGAAACTGAGGCCAAGAGGGACAGAGACAACTACTAGGGGCCTCACCTGTGCCATTTCAGCTGGGCTGCTGATGTGGTGTCTTCTGACCTCTGTCCTCTCTCTCCAACAGAGAGCCAGCTGCTCCCCGGGAACAACTTCACCAATGAGTGCAACATTCCAGGCAACTTCATGTGCAGCAATGGGCGCTGCATCCCGGGCTCCTGGCAGTGCGATGGGCTGCCTGACTGCTTCGACAAGAGTGATGAGAAGGAGTGCCGTGAGTGCCTGCCCCAGGCTGTGGGCGGGTGCCCTGATCCCCAGCTGAAGGCAGGGGTCCCCATCTATCTGACTTTCACCCTGCCCACCGTTTGTTGCATGCTGAGGGCTTGGGCCTCTGTCCAGCAGTCCTGGCCGGTCCATTCTGTCCCCGTGGCCCAGAGTAGCATCATCTTTGCAGAAATGGGTGCTGTTGGTGGAGCCACAGCTGGGAGAGCAGAGCAGTCTCCCATGAGACACTTCCTGGGATACTGCTATCACCTTTGCTTACACAGGAGCCACCTGAGAACCCCCGAGGTCCTGTAGCTGCAGTGTCTCAGCAGGAGACAAGCAAGCAGCAGACTTGGCATTGAACCTAGGACTCCTCGTGCTGTTGACCTCCTTGCTTGTGGTTCATTGTGCTGTTTTCTTGATAATTCATTGAGGTCCAGCAGGAGTTCCCCAACCTCTTTTCTCTGCCGAGTGGGTATAATCTATAAGGGGCACCTGGCATGTGGGTTGGGGACTTAGGGTGTCAAGAGGCCACCCACCCTTTTTGCTCCATGGAGCTCCTCTCCCTGGCCCCCATCTGTCTCTGCAGCGTGAACCTGGCCATGGGTCATCGCCCTGGGCACCTGGCCGGTGGGAAGCACAGTGCAGGTTGGGCACAGGTTCAATGATGGGTGACTGCCTTGGGGCCACATAATGGGAGAGTGGCTCTTGGCTTCTTCATGCACTTTGGGAACCAGGCCATGTGGCTTTTCTGACAAGAGGACTCTGTGTTCTGACTCTGAACCGCATGTATCTCTGGAAGGCAGATGAGGAAATGGCTGAGAATAGGACAACAGCTTGAACTTTTAACATAGCTGTTATGGGGATTTGAGGCCCAGTCTGATGACGCACAGGAAGGAGCACTGGGATTGGAACCCACCCACAGGAGCCAGCTGCTGCCTCCCACCGGATCTGCCCACTCCTGGCCTGGCCCTTGCCAGGCAGAGCGGCCCAATAGCCCTGCAGGCCTGTTCCTGGTTCTCAGAGAAGTTTTGGGGATGGCAGTTTTTTGGGGGGAGAATATTCTATCTTGTTTATCACATGTAATTTTTCTGAATAGAGCACTAGACATAATGCTTTTTGCTTCCTTGATTCTTCTTTTCTTTTCTTTTCTTTTTTTTTTTCCAGGGTTTCTTTTGAAAATTAACTTTTCTTTGTTTCTAACATGGCTTCAAAATAGCTAGAAATTTAACATTTCTCATTGAGTTCTAGATGAGGCGCTCTCATCTGTCTAGTTTTAAGGATTACTGGACACTGTAGAAGTACTGTATGTGAACCTGTGGACCTGCCATTTTTGGGCCAAGGTGTGTTTTTGAACTCCATTTAACGTGACTGTCATTAGCTAACTGGGAATATTTGACCCAGGAGAAGTTTGGGAAGGAATGCAGGAGAAGCAGTCACACCTAAGTTGCCTTCCCAGTTTTGTGTACAACACCTGCGTGATACTGGTGACTTCTGTAACATTCTCTGTCCTCTGTCAGGACAGTCCTGTGATTTTAGAATTCCTGCTTAAACTGAGGGAGGGAATGGAAGGAGAACGTTAGGAACCAGGATGGTGCCCACAGCTGTCTGGAGCTGTTTGGTTCTGTTGGATATGGGCTCCTTCTTGTCTGTCCTTATCCTGTCACTTGCCCCTAAGGGTAGTAGAAACTTGACTGGCATTTATTTAGTCTTTTGATCAAAACATCATTAAAAAAGTATGTTTTTAAAAAAATACAAATACATGCGTTAACCTTGTCTCTGTCGCCCCTTCTTTTTTGTTTAAATTGAAAAACCGTAACACTAGAAAGTTTAGACAATATAGGGAAAAGAAAAAGTCTTAGTTCTAACACAAATTCCACTTTTCTTTTATTTATTTATTTATTTTGGTACCAGGGATCGAATTCAGGACCTTGTGCTTGTGAGTGAGGTGGTGGAACCTCTGAGCTAAATCTGTGGCCCTCCACTTTCATTTTAAATTTCGTCCCTGTTCCATTCTAGGAATCAATAGTGTAAACCATGGAAAAAGACAGTGTCCAAATCTGAGCCTCTTTTCTATCTTTAGGTGGCTTAGTGTGCTTGGGAAAGTTTCCAGAATGTTCTAAACTGTAGCCATTGACAGGGTTGAAGAATTCCCTAATGCCTCAATTTCCTCTTCAAAATGGGAACAATGTGGCATTTGCTATGAACGAAGCTTTAACATGCACAAAGCGTGTAGCACAGTGTCTGCCTGCAGCCCGGTGAGTGGCTGGTGAAGATGAACCATCACCAGTCATCTGCACCAACATTGTTACATGGTCGTCTTCTTCAGGGTGTCCATGAGGTGACCGTCTTCACCATCTTCGCACGGACATTGTGGGGCAGCCGGTGTAGAATTCGTGCCACCTTTGAGGGAGATAGACAGATCGTGTGTCTTACTTGGGAGTCACAAAGCCTTTTCTCTGATTCTGTGGGACAAGGGGTGTTTCGGGGGATGAGGGTGAAGGTGGCCGGTGCTGTCCCCTTAGAGAGTGGATTGCACTATGTTCCTCAGGCTTAAAAGAAAAAGCCAATTCTGGCCTTTTACAGGAAGTTTTATCGTAAGGTGATAACATTACATATTGTGCAAATTGAGGGGGAAGGAGAGGAGAAAAACAAAAGCATTACACAGGAGTCTGTGCCTCAGCAGACCTGATGTTAGCATCTTGGAAGTTTTCATTCTGGCTCTTTCCCAGTTATAATTACCATGGTTACTTAGTTTTTACATCTCAATTTTTTACATGTAACATTTCAACATGCTAACATTTTTCTTTCTGATTTTAAAATTTTCTGTCATTTTTAATGCCTAGATGATAGTCCATTAATTTGGTACACTGTAGTTCACTGATTATACTATTATTTATTATTCAGCAGTCATCTTTTTTTTTTTTTCTTCCTTCTGTGCTGTGGATGGAAGCCAGGGTCTTTTGCAGGCTAGGCAAGGGTTTGCCTCAGAGCCCTCCATCTGGTTTCCAGGTTTCTACTCCTAGAAATAGTGTTCACCATTGTTAGTGTGAGGGAGGGCCAGACTTACCCCGTTTTGAGTTTTGAGAACTGACCTTGGGCTGGATTCTCAGAAATGAGGCCTGACCCAAAGGCTGGGAGCTGTTTCTGGGTGTACACACAGCCTACTCACTTGTTTTGCTAAAGGGCTGCATTCGTTTGCCCTTGCTGGCAACCATAAAAACTGGGACTTTATTTTAGTCTTGGCAGCGTTGAGTAAAATATTTAAGAAAACATTTTTTTCCAGGTTAATTTAATAGTTGAAAACCATTTGTGTATTTTAATTTTCTGTTTTTTTTAAATTAGTGAGATTGAATGTTTTCCCATACCTCTGTTTACTAGTTATATTTCCTTGTGAAATATCTATTAATGGACTACAGTTAATATCCAACTTTGTTAACACTTAAAATTTTCTCCTTGTGCATCTGGGGAACCTCTCTCTAAAGTTTTGAGAAGAGGATCATTTTAGGATACTTCAAGTACATTTCTGTTCTTGGTTAGTAAATTGGGTAATCATTTTACCCAAAGCTCCTTCCTTCCTTCCCTTCTTTCTTCCCATCTTTTCTTCCTTCCTGTATTGTCCTTCCCTTTCTTCTCCTCTCTTGCCCTGTTCTCTCCTTTATGTCCTTTTCTTTCATAAAAAGAATAGAGATACATTTTAGGAAAATGACGATGCTCCATGAAAGCAGATTGTGAGGACAGTGATCATGTGTACCTCCTTGAGGTACCCCTGAGTCACACTATGCCAGGCACTTTACATTTTTTAACTCATTAGATTGTCACAAGAGCCCCTTTGGAAAGGAGTTATTGTCATCTCCTAATGAGGGAACTGAGCCACAGAGTGATTACACATTTTCCTCTTGGCCCAGAAAATAAGTCTCCCTGACCCTTTTCTGTGACAGACCCCCAGGGAGGTCTTTTTGTCTTTCTCCACAAGCTTCTGTTAAAACCCAGCTGGATGCTGGGGATTTAGCTCAGTGGTTCCCTCTCCTGCCTCACAAGTGTAAGGACCCAAGTTTGATCCCTGGTACAGAAAAAAACAAAAAACAAAAAAACCCCAAAACCCTGTTGGAAAGGATCACGTAGATTAGTATGTCATCATGTCTATACTAGTACATTATGACTGTGGTAGTTAGATTTCCATTGCTATAACTGATAACTGAAGTAATCAACTTAGAAAGAGGTTTACTTTGGCTCGCAGTTTTGGAGGTTTCAGTCCATGATTTATTGGTCCTTTTACTCTGGACCTGTGGTGAGGCAGCACATTATAATGGGGTCATGTAGTGGAGCAAAACTGCTTATTGCATGACCAGGAAGCAAAAAGAACAAGGAAAAAGAGCCTGAGGTCTCACAATCCCCTTCAAGTATATTCTACCATTGACCCCCAGACCACTCACAAGGTTAGAGGTGCCATTGCTCTCCAATAGGACACCCTTGGGCACCAAAGCTTCACCAGATAGGCCTGGAAGGGACATTTCAGATCCAAACTGTAGCAATGACTAAACTGCTTTAAAATTTTTTTAGAAACATCAATAGTGTTTTTCTGTTAATGATCTTTAAAGTGGCCTTTGGTCCTGTGAGCCTCTGAAATGTTTTTCTTGCAGAAGATGTACTTTAATTTCTGCCATTGCTATATCAAATTCTCACAAGCCACACATGACACATGATCTGGAACCAGGCGCCTGCAGATCTCCTTCCTATTCTGTGTTAGATTTTAGCTGCCATCTCTGTGTGCCTTAACAAAGTTGGGAGGCATCTTGAATGTTTGGGATCTTCCTCACAAAGTAGTTCATTTTCTCCTTTGGGAAAATGTATTAAATGATGTCTTTGGCTGTGTGTGTGTAGCTGGAGGGGAAATAAATTCAAAGACCTTATCCAATGATAAAAGTTTCTTGACTCTCGAAACCCAGAAACATGGAAAAGTAGGTGCAAAATGGAATTTGAATTTTATTTGCTTCTACTGTTTCCATCTGTTGCCTAAGCATGCCTTCTGATCGCTCCAGTGTGATGGCAGAAATCCACAAGATCATGTGGAAAGGGCTAGGTTTGATCCCCAAGAAGTGTAAAAGAAGAAATACACTTCCGATTTCCTGTCTTTGTTTTCCTCAACTTCTGTCTCTAGGTGGTGTCCGTGGAATGCTTTTCTTTAAACCTAGTGCTATTCAGCAAAGATGGGGGGAAACTGGGTTCTGAGTGACTACTCACTGTCCTTCCCAAGCCTTAATAAGAATCCTGCTGTTACCAGGGCTCGTAATGCTTGGCTCCACATGGGAAATGCTCCTAGAAATCAGGAAGCTTCCTCCTTCCTTAGGCTCTTCTGCCTTTTCTTGGAATGAGATGGTGACAGCTGATGTGTGTTTGGCCTAGGAAAACAATCTGTCAGAGCACTGTGGGATGAAGCTATGGTGAGCAGTGATCTTGCACTTCAGCTGTGCAAAAACACCACCGTGTTGGGTTGAATTATGCCCTCTCTCTGAGGTCCCAGTGTTGAAGTCCAGCTCTCAGCACCTCAGAAAGTGACCTGGTGTGGAGGTGGAGTTTTGTGGAGGTAATTAAATTAAAATTAGGTCATTAGGTGGGCTCTAAACCAGTGTGGCTGATTTAGAAGAGGAAATGTGGATACAGACAGGCAGCAGAATGGCGAAGAGAGGACTCAGGGAAAAGGTGGCCACCTGTAGGACAGAAAGAGTCCTGGATCCTTCCCCATGGCCTCAGAATGGAACCTGTCAGGTGCATAGTGAGTGATGCTCATCCTATGCTGTGTCCCAGGATACTTTCCACTGAGAGCCTGCTTCTGCTTTCTCCTTTAACCGTCTCCGAGTAAGGATCCAGATGTAATGGGTTGAATTATGTCTCCCCGAATCATGTTGAAGTCGTCACTTCCCGTGTCTCAGAATGGGACCGTTGGAAATGGGATCGTTGTAGATATAATTAGTTAAGATGGAGTGTTAGCTGGAGGGTTGTCGCGAGCTGCTATTGATCAGCATTCTGTGGAAAATGAATTAGCTCTTAGGAGGAGCCTTCACAATCTTTATCTTTAAGGGATTAACAGAGTCTGTAATGACGTCCCATGAAGTAACACCGGAAGATTGTCTTTGGTCCTTTTCACGGCTTGCGTTAATCTGTTTGATAATACGCTCAGGGATCCACCGCGGTTGATCAGCATTCTGTGGAAAAACACAAGCAAAAACCCCTTCCCCAAGGAACTGCGCGGCAGACCGCAATCCAATCACTTGGTGTTTCGCCAGGATCCAGTAATGGAGTCCAGGATAGCACAAGTGAAAGGAGCTGCAGTGCCATACTGATTCACCGCAGTTTTTAATTCTTTTACCAACTTAAATTCAAGAGGGTGATGTTCTCTAATCGGATGCTCAAGTTTTTGTTGAAAAGCCTCAAAACTGGGATAGAACTTTTGAAAAGGCTCAAAACTGGGATATAGCACTACAGGAGGTCCTCCGGAATCCGGAGGCTCGGGGGTGCTCAAGTGAAAGGGGACATTCTCTAGCATCTTTCTCTAGACCAGATTCAGGGGGCTCTGAAGTCTGAGAGCGCTCCTCTCTAATTTGTTCTAACCCTTCATGCACCTCCTCTAAGGCTTCCAAGATTTCCTTTTTGGTTGGGGTCCCGAGAGCTGCGTTTAACAAAGCCCAATAAAAAGGAGCCCCTTCTGGAAAACGATTAGGCTCGGCCAGAAGGGCTTCATTCAACTGGTTTCCAACTGTCTCCCATACTTCAGCGTTTATTTCTGCCTTATCACATAGCCATGGACAAATTGTGTCCAGAATCTTAACAAAGGCCTCTAATCTTGCCCTCTCAACTGTTACTCCTTGTGCCTTCAATAGGCTCTGAATTGAATTTGCTAGATAATTTCTGGATTCTGATTGTCCCATTTTTTGTTTTTTTTCTTCTTCCCTAATGGACTTGACACTCTACCTTCTATCACTTTTTTCTTTTTACCTTCACTTTTTCTTACTTTTCATTTTTTCCTACTTTCTTTTCATTTTTTCTTACTTTTTATTTTTTCTTCATGAAGTGAACGGTAGACTTACTGCGAGGATCAGGCGCAGCGGTCAGTCCTCCGGAGCACCGTCGCTGCCTTCGACCCGAGTCCGGGATTACATATCCCCATCTACTTTCAGGTCCCTGTTCGGGCGCCACTTGTTGCGAGCCGCGACTTCAGGATCCTGCCAGCAGGTCCTAAACCTGAAAGGACGAGGACAGAGAGACGAGAGGCACCATCTCATGTTCCTTGCTTGGTTGCTTGCTTTATTACAGAACCTCTTCCTTTTATACTCTCCAGCTGCATGGGAGCGAGGGCTGCACGGGAGCGAGGGTACCGCCCACACATTCCAGAGGGAAACAATAACAACCATTATGGGTTACATCTGCTAGGCAATAGATCAGACCACCAGCTGAACTAGCCCATTGCTATAGCGACGGCACGTCCACACTGCTCGGGTGAATCACAGGTCAATATGGCTGCGCTCATGTCGTGTTCCTTTACAATGCTCTCCATAGAGGGTGAGCCCTTAATCCAATCTGAAGAGTCCTTACAAGAAGATAACATGAAGGCACAAGGGAAGAGCACAGCGTGACAACAGGGGCAGAGGTTGGAGTGATGCAGCTGTGGGTCACGTGGCACCAAGGGCTGTAGCAGCCGCAGAAGCCAGGAAGAGGCGAGGAAGAAAGGATTCTCCCCAGGGTTTCAGAGGGAGCAGGATCCTGCTGACCCCTTGATTCCTGACATCTGGCTCCCACAACTATGAGAAAACAGCTGCTCACTTTATGGTACTTTGCAGTGTACCTTTGGAAAGGGATACACTTCTGACATCCAGGGACCACTAAAGCCTCTTGGGATTTGGGATGCTGTCAGCCTACCATAGCCCATGGGTTCAGCTCCCCCCCGCCCCCTCCCTCTCTTCCTCTCTCCCTCTCTTCTTTGCAGTACTTAGGATTGAATGTAAGGCCTTCACATTGAGCTATATTTCCAGCTGTTTTATTTTGAGGCTGGGTTTCACTGAGTCACTAAGTTGCCCAGACTGGGCTCAGATTTGTGATCCTTTTGCCTCAGCCTCCCACAGTGCTGGGATTACAGATGGGCCCACCATGCCAGCTTGGGCCTTTTCTTACTAACCTGCTGTGTGCCTTGTTTCTGCTGGGGTGTCTGTCTTGTCCTGTGAGAAAAGTGGCCCTTCTGCAGTGTTGTGAGCTGCGACGTCAGGATCCTGCCAGCAGGTCCTAAACCTGAAAGGACGAGGATAGAGAGACGGGAGGCACCTTTCTTCTCATGTTCTTGCTTGGTTGCTTGCTTTATTACCGAACCTCTTCCTTTTATACTCTCCAGCTGCATGGGAGCGAGGGCTGCACGGGAGCGAGAGTACCGCCCACACATTCCAGAGGGAAACAATAACCACCATTATGGGTTACATCTGCTACCAGCTGAACTCACCCGTGGCTATGGGCGAGAGCACGTCCGTGCCAGCGAGGTGACTCGAAGTTCAATCATGGCTAGGCCTGTGTCAAGGCTCACCATAATGGCTCGCCATACTGCAGGGCTTGGCTCTGGCAAGCCATTGTGAAGTGCTGAGTTCCAAAGGCTGCCAAAGGAGTTGAGCCTTGGAAGACAGAAGCTGGCCCTGAGAAGAGTCTAGAGACCCTTGTGATGGTGTAATGCTAAGTCCGCCAAGTGCAGACCCTACAGATGAATCCTTTCCAGGCACTCCTGCCTAGGAGGAAATCCAAGGCCTGAGTGTATACACCTGTGTGTGGCTTCTTTTCTAATTGAGCCGGTTGCTTATTATTTGTGTATTTGTTTTTAAATGTCTCGGGCAATTCCAGGCATCCCCCTTGCCCTTCACTTAATTTCTTCCATCTCAGAGGCAAAAAACCATGAACTTTAAGAAGAAGGGCTTTGGGGCCAGACTCTGCTGACCTCTCCCCAGCCATGATTTATAGACCTGTGAGGCCCTAGGCACTATTTTATCTACTCTGCAGTGATTTCCACATCCATAAAGTGGGATCATAATATCACCTGCTCCAGGGGAAATATTTATATTTAATAAGTGATGCGTCTAGGCCATTTTCTGGTTTGAAAGGTGCTGATCTTAGAATAGGCATTGTTTCCCTGGAGCATAGTGTACATATAAATCAACTCTGTGGATCTTGCAGGAGCTAATGCATCTGAGGCTTGTGGCTGGGTGCTGGATGTGAATGAGGCATTTAGTGAATGCTAACTGGCTTTGTCCCCTGAAACCAAGGAAGCTGGTGACATCCCAGCCCAGTGCAATGCTGACTATTGCTGCTTCAGAATCTTCCCAAACCCTACTCAGTGTGTGAGCCTCTGCTACAGAGAACACTGAGCCAGTCTTGGATATCAGTCTTCTTGAACACTCAGCTCTCTTGAAACTTCCTTGGAGAGCCCCAGGTAGCCAGCCAGGTGCCCAGGCTGGTGCCAAAGAGGAGGATCAAGTATGGGGGTACCGGAGGTGAACCAGACACTAGAATGCGTAGGGGCGGAGGCCTGGGAGGGCCTCTTCTGCATTCTGTCTGCGAACGCCAGCCTTAATGGGCCTGCATCCAGCTTACAAGTGCTTGAGTGGCCATAGGCTGCATGTCCTTGCTCTTCAGACCCTGAACCACTAAGCACCTAAGTGGATTTTGCTTTCTGTCTTCCATGGCCTTTCCAGGCTCCACAAGTGAACAGTCCCCTCCACCCTCTCTGCACTGGTAGGAAACCAGCATTGCTCCCTGTGGTCTTCCTGTAGGCTCGTGACTGGTCTTCCAGAGCCCTGTTCCATCCCAGATGTGCATTTCATGCTCAGTCCCCAAAGTGAGAAGAATCCTTCAGTTCTGAGGTTGGAATCCACATGGTCTCAGATAGGCACCTGGCAGGTACCAATTCCAGGTTGTCTGGCTATAGTTGGCTGAGCAAGAACTTGGCCTGATACAAACTTTTCTAAAAAGCTCCTGGGTGGTTTTTTGTTTTTTAAGATGCCAGTCATTTTTTAGTAGGTAGAGAAAGACAAAGTGCTCTCACTCTCTGTGTGTATCAGTTTCTTAGAGCTCCTGTAACAAAATACTGCAAGCTGGATGGCAGAAAACAACAGAAACAGTCTTCCCACAGTTCTGAAGGACAGATATCTGAAAGCCAGGGGTCAGTAGGCTCTACAGAAGGTCCTTCCTTACCACTTCCTGGCTTCTGGTGGTTGGCTCAGTATCTCTGAGCTCCTCTTTTACATGTCTTCCTTTTTCTGAAGATGCTATCATTGGATTAGGACCCCAATTTAGTATGACTTCATGTTGACTTGATGATGACTTCCAAGACCCTGTTTCCGAACACAGTCACGTTCACAGATCCCAGGACCCTCACTAATCAACCACATACACTGGCTGGGCACTGAGGAGGGGAAGCCTTGGCTTAAACTTGGCTTCAGGGGGCCCCATGGGGTGAGGATTCTTGCTGCATGTACTTGGGGTATTGCATTCTTTGTTTTACCCCTCCCTTTAGCGCATGAAGCTTTTGGCACAGGACCACATGTGTCCGTAGAATGGGAGTGGTTTGAAGGCCAAAGGATAGGGATTTACATGAGAAAATAAATAAACATGTGCATTTTTAAACTGGCTATATAGACATTTTCTTTTCTCACCTGGCCCCTTGTCTGGGTCATTGTCTTGATGAAAAGCTCCTCTAGACACTAGTGAGTGTATGCAACAGCCTGTGAAAGTGCTGTGCCTCTCGTAGCCCTGGGCTGGACAAGGTGCTGTAGACCAAAGGCATTGTCAGTGGCAAGCGTCTTTCTCCTTTCAGCCCGGCCTGGAAGCTGGGGGGCCTCTAGCTGGAGTCTGAGCCAGATTGGGCTACAGCTGGTTGTGTTTGTCCCACACAGGGACACTAAAAATACCAGCTGGCCACCAATGGTTATAAACTGGAAGCTTGCACGTAAAAATTGGGATAATCGGGTGTGTGCGTGTGTGTATGTTTTTTTAAGAAATCTTTTCTGACTTGCAGAGAATCCTGTCCACTCTGCATCTTCCCTGCATTTCACCGTCTTGCTCCTGCGAAGGCCTCTAGTAATCTTTAATTCCAAGATGCACATTTCCGCCCACACTTTCTGATAGACAAAGAAACCCCGGTGTCTCAGTTTAAGTGACAGAGTGTTTTCGCCCTTAGATGTACGTGAAATAATGGCAGGCGTTGCCTTGGTGGCATCTTAGATTTGGTGAAATATAATTTCCTGTGATTGCTAGCATGTGATGTTTCCACCAAGGGCGCCGAACATTTCCAGACAGATGATTAATGCGCCACGACTGTGTTTTCTTTAGGGGGCTCTGCTGGCAGGGAAGGAGACAGGCTGCAGGGTGGGAGGGACCTGGCTCTGCAGCCACCCTGCTTGCAACGACTCCCAGCTCCATCCCCTCAGAGCTGTGTGATGTGCGCAAGGCACTTTGCCTCAGTTTCCTTCTTATCCCGTAGGATTTGGGGGAAGACTGAATAAACTAAACCCCTGAAACCTCTTCAGGCAGGAGCTGGCACATAGTAAGCACTCAGTAAACGTAAGCTGTGTTCTGATAGGCGGCAAGGTCATTCTTCTGGTTTCCATCCCCATTCTGCCACTTCCCTTCTTGGAGCCCCAGTTTCCTTGTCTGGGAAATGAGCACAGGCATGAGAAGGGACAGCATGAGAAGAGGCACAGAGGTGCTAATGTCTGGTGCTTCGTTGGCACTTGGTAAAATAAGCTTTCCTGTGTTATTTCCTCTACCCCAGGGATGTGCAGTTCCTGAGTGCTCAGGTGTCTTAGTCACTTTCCTCTTGGTTGGAACACAGTACCCGACACACAGTTTAAAGGAGCACCTGGTTATTTGGGCTCATAGTTTTAGCCCATGCTCAGCCAGCTCCAAGACAAGAAGGGCATGGAGGATGGGTCTGGGTGGATCCATGAGGAGAGCTGCTCTCACCATGGCAAGTAGGAAGCAGAGAGAGAGAAGGGAGGAGCAGGACAGGGAGACAGACCCTTCCAGGCCGTGGCCCCAGCGACCCACCTCCTAGCAGTGAGTCGGCTGTAGGGCTCCATGGTCCGGCCACCTTCCATAGGTCCTGCTGAGTGCATGAGGCCATTCCAGACCCTAACCACAGCCCATCGCAGTCAGAATTTAATCCAGGCTTCTTCAGGTATCACAGATGGGCTGGATAACCAGTCACAGATTCTCCCTTCCCCTAGATTGTCTAAGCCAAGGAATGTAGATGGTTTTATTTCGGTAACACTGTGGATGTTCAGGCCCAAATGAGCATCTCTCCTTCCCTGAACTGTTTTTAGGTAATAGGATGCAGGACCTTGTGATGCTTGGTTCTGAGAAGTAGGATATGGGTCCACCTGGGATGGGGGTGCTCCAAGCCAAATGTAGTGCTTTTGACCCCCACTGACCAGAAGATGAGGAGAAGAAGACTTCTTCCAGGGAGCCTTGTGCCCCTTTCTTTGGAACTGGGACCGAAGACCCCAGACTGTCTCACTGGAGAAGAAGTTGATAGCGTCCATGGTAGTAAGGCTTCTTGCAGACAAGGGGAAAACTGGCAGGAACTTAATTTAGTATCTTCCTGGATACTGGAGAAGCAACTTCTTCATTTTCAAAGTCACCAGATCTCCCGCTTACCAGAGAGTTTTACTCTGTTATTCAGTCAGAGCTCCCTGGCACATGTCCCTGCCGTTGCTGTCCTAGCCCTGCTCTGATAGCGACACAGCCTTGGGATGCTGTCTGTCAGAATCCCACCAAGCGCCTTCCATCCCCTCCAGCCCCTCTCGGTGCCAGCTGCAGTTTGAGGCTTCCCACTGCTGTGTTGGAACCACTCATTTAAATGCCAACACTGTCATCAGGCGAGAGCCTCGTGGCGTAGAGGTATCTTAAAGTCATCTTTTAAATCAACTCTTTGCACAAATATCAGCCTCATTCCGTCTTGCCCGTCCTCTTCACCACTTCAAGCGAGCTCCGTTATTATCAGCACCCGTGTGCTGCCTTTTCCTGCCTCCAAGCACAGAATCTTAATGAAACTGCTCTCCGCTCTAGGGAGGCTCCTGTCCCCGTGTCTCTGGAATAAGCGTGTCCGGGTCCACCTGGGCCCCTGTCACTCAGGCTCACTCTGTTTTCCAGGACTTGGCTGTAACTGCAAGATGTATTCAGTGGTAACAGGCTCGGTAATTGCTAATAAAATTTAAATGGCTGCAAAATCACAGAACATCGAAAAAATTTCCTTTTCCTGGCACATCCAGGCAAATCTTGCTGATCC